GCAGGGGGTCTCGGCCGGGGGGCGATGGGGCCGGGTTTGGGGCGCACCCGCAGGGCGGGGCCGTTCCCGGGGAGGTGCCGGAGCCGCCGGGCCGGGTGCGGGACCGGGCGCGGGGAGGGGCGGGCGGAGGACGCGGCCCAGGAGCGGCGGCGGCTCCCGGGGGTCCCGCAGCGAGAGGGGGCCGGGGGCCGGGGAGGGGGCTGGGGTCCGGAGGGTCCCTCGGCGGGGGGGGCGGGGGTCCCGGCCATGAGGAGGATGTTCTCCTGCTCCAGCTCGCAAGTGAAGGTGAGTCCCGGGAGGGAACGGGGAGCCCGTGGCGGCTGCGACCCCAGCCCCGATCCTGATCCCAGCCCCGATCCCAGACCCGACCCCAGACCCGATCCCAGCCCTGATCCCAGCCCCGCCGCCGGCTGCGATCCCGAGACCGGCCCCAATGCCATCCCCGAGGCCGCCTCAGTCCCGACCCCAATCCCGCTCCCATGCCACCCTCGATCCCAGCCGCAATTCCACTCCCAGTCCCGGTGCTTGTCCCGATCCTGGCTGCAATCCCTTTCCCAGATCCAATTCCAAGCCCAATCCCGGTCCTGATCCCGGTCCCGATGCCACCTGCAATCCCAGCCCCAATCCCGACCCGATCCAGCGCCCAGCCCTGGTCCCGCTGCAGGTCCCGCAGCCCAAACCTGCTCCCAGTCCCGGTTCCCGTTCCCAGACTCTGTTCCCGGTCCCTGTCCCTGGTCTCAGTTCCAGTCTCCGGTCCCGGTGCCACCCCCGCCCGGTGCCACGCTGGAGCCCTCGCTGGTGGCACTCGCCAAACCAGCCGGGCGGGCACAGGCCGGGACACGCTCCGGCCTCTCCGCCCCTCCCGGCTCCGCGCGGATCCGGGATCCCAAGGAACGGGGAAACTGAGGCACGAGATGCGTGGGAAGAACCACACGGGGGAGGGGTCCTGTCCCGGGGTGGGGGGTCCCGTCCTGGGTTTGGGGTCCTGTCCTGGATTTGGGGTGCCACCCCACCCCCGCAGATGGAGAGCTGGACGCGGCAGGACCAGAAGCTCCTGGACGCGGTGACCCGCGGGGACGTGGCCCGGGTGGCCGCCCTGGCCGCCCGCAAGGCCGCCCGCCCCGCCAAGCTCAACGCCAGGGGACAGTCCGCGTATGTCACCTCCGGGGGGACACGGGGGGGGGTCTCGCTGGGTCCCGGGGGTCGCACGGGAGGAGTCACGGCCACCTCTCGCCCCCCAGGCTCCACCTGGCCGCGGCCGAGGGTCTCACCGAGTGCCTGATGCTGCTGCTGGAGCACGGGGCCCCCGTTAACGAGACGAACGATGACGGTGGGTGGGGACACCTGGGCACACCTTGGGGACATCTTGGGCACACCCAGCAAGGTCCCTGTGTCACCTCTGGAGGAGCCCAGACCTGCACCCCAAGGCAGGGACCCCCCGGAGCACCCTGAGGGTGTCCCCAAGGGGGGTGTCCCCAAGGTGGGGGTGTCCCCTGGGGGTGTCCCCAACGCCCGTCCGGTCCCCACAGGCAGCACTGCCCTGCACCTGGCCACCATCGCCTGCCAGCCCCAGTGCGTGAAGGTGCTGCTGCAGGTACGGGATGGGAACGGAACGGGAACGGGGAAAAGAACGGGATGGGAACGGGAACGGGAACCGAAACCGGAACCGGATGGGATAGAGCTGGGGGTGAAAACAGGGATGAAGATCAGGATGGAGATAGGGACAAGGATGGGGATGCAGAGGAGGATGAGGATGGAGGTGGGGATGAGGATAAGAATGGGGACAAGGACAGGGATGAGGGTGGGAACAGGGCTGGGATGGGGGGGGTCAGTGCCGTTCCCATCCCGGGGGTCCCTCCCCGCTGTCCCCCCAGCACGGAGCCAACGAGCGCCGCGTGGACGGGCAGAACCGGACACCCCTGCACTGGGCCGGTGAGCGGGGGGACACGGGGACACCCCGGGGATCACGGGGGACACCAGAGGTCCCCCAGAGCCCCTGCAGTGACACCGCACCCCCCTCGCAGCCTCCTCGGGCTGCGCCTCCAGCGTCCTCCTGCTCTGCGACCACGAGGCCCCGCTGGATGTCGCCGACGCTGTGAGTGGGGACAGGGGGACAGCAGGGGGTGGCGGGGGACAGGAAGGGTTGGTGGTCACCCCACGTGTCCCCCCAGCACGGCCGGACCCCCCTGATGCTGGCGGCGCGGGGGAACCACGCTGCGGTTTGTGCGCAGCTCCTGCGGCGCGGGGCCGAGCCCGGGCTGGCCGACAGGGACGGCAGGTGGGTGACACGGGACACTGGGGACACCGCGCTGTCCCCAAGGGTGTCACCGCTGCGGGGGAGGGATGGGGGTCACCCGTGTCACTGTGTCACGGTGCCATCTTGCCCGTGTGCCACCACCTGACATTGTTCGCTGTCCCCTTGTGTCCCCGTGTCCCTCCGTGTCACCTCCCCGGCTCAGGACGGCGCTGGAGCTGGCGCTGGATCACGGCAGCCTGGAAGTGGCCGAGCTGCTGCAGGGCCACAAGAGGGACAAGGACACCGGGAATGTCACCGGGAAGGCTCCGAGCTGGGCTCTCCGGAAAGTCCCGCACTGCGGGAGGAGAGGTGAGACCTCCTGGAACTCCCCCCGAAAAAATGAAAAAATGGAGGAAGTGGGAAAAAATGGGGGAAATTGGGAAAAATTGGGAAAACTGGATTGTATTTTTCCCTCCAGCAGAGAATGGTGCTGGACAGGTGGGAATCCAGGGCGAGGAGGAGGAGGAGCAGCGGGACGGACGCGCTGCCCGGCGGCTGCGGGAGGAGCTGGCGAGGAAGACTCTGGAATGCCGGCGGCTGGAGGAAGCTGCCGAGGGCATCCGGCGGCGGCTGCGGGAGCTCGTGCGGCTCCTGCCGGGACGGGATGAGGGTGAGGAGGAGGATGATGAGGAGGAGGAGGATGATGGCGCCTGCCTGGAGCTCCTGGCCCGGCGCGTGGCGGAGCTGAGAAGGAGGACGAAGGATGAAGAGTGGGAAGGAGGACGCGGCAGCGCCGAGGCTCCAGCGCTGATCCCGTTCCTGGCCTGGCTGGGAGAGGAGTGCTCCAAAATGCGGGAAGCGAAGGCCGGCGCCTTCTCCCGGAGCCGGGAGCTGCGCCGGGAAGCGGAGGATTCCCTCCGGGATGAGGCCGTGGGTCTGGACGCGGCCGCCTGGGAGCAGCTGGCGGCGGGGCTGGAGCAAGCGCTGGACCAGCAGGACCAGATCCACGCCAGGATGCTGCAGGGATCCCAAATCCTCCTGGAAAAGCTCCGTGGGAAGCCGGCGGCAGCGTGCCGGTGCGCGGTGAACGGCACGGATCCGGCTCCGAGCGGGAAGAGCCGGGAGGAGATCCCGAGGGAGCGCGGGACGATGGAGAAGGAGCTGCTGGAGCTGCGGGAGGGCAACGGGAAGCTCCTGGTGGAGCTGGCGCGGCTGGGCCGGGAGCGGGAGCGGCTGCAGCAGGAGCTGCGGGAGCTGCGGGATGCCGGGACGCGGGACGAGGCGTGGCGGCTGCGCCGGGAGCTGCGGGCGCTGCGGGACGGGGTGGGAGCGCGGGTGCGGGAGGCGGGGGGAGACGCCGGGGCCGCGATTCTCCGGGACCTGCACCGGCGGCTGGACGCGCTGGTGCGGTCCCAACACGAGGCCCTGCAGCTCATCACCGAGATGGAGGGAGAGGAGGGGGAATGCCCCGGGAGCGGCGGGGAGGGCGGGATACCGGGAGAACCGGGAGCGGCGGAGGGTGCCGGCACCGCCGATGTCCCAGCGGAGCCGCCGGGGTCGGAGCTGCAGCGCTGGCGGGAGGCGGCGGAGGCGGCGGAGGAGAGGGCGGCCGGGAGGGAGCGGGAGCTGCGGGAGCTGCGGGACACGGCGGAGGGGCTGGAGCGCAGCCTGGCAGCGCTGCGGGAACGGGCGGCTGGGCTGGAGCGCGCCTGCCGGGACAAGGACGGGAAGGTGAGGGACGGGCCGGGAACGGGGACGGGATCATCCCAGCACCGCTCCCATTCCCGTCATCATTCTCCTCCCATCCTTGTTCCCATTTCCGACCCCTTCCCATCTTTCTCTTCCTCCCATATCCATCTCCATGTCCTTCCCATCTCCATCCCCTTGCCAGTCCTCTTTCCATCATCATCATCATCATCCCTTTCCCATCGCTGTTCCCATCATCCCTGTCCCCTTCCCATCCCTATCCCCATCCTGTTCCATCTCCCAGCCCCGTCTGGGGGGACCTGGGGAGGGTGAGGGGGGAACTGAGGGGAACTTTGGGGGCTGACAGGGACCCAGGGGGCTCTGGGGGGTGCTGGAAGCAACCAACCCCCGACTAATCCCCCAAATCTGCCCCTGACTTTCCCCCTCACAGCTGAAGCAGCTGCTGGCGGAGACGGAGAAACTCTCGGCCGAGGTTTTGGGGCTGCGGGGCCGGAGCGCCCGGCTCCAGCTGCAGCTGGAGGTGGGGACAGCACCCGGTGTCGCACCGTGTCACTCTCTGTAACCTCCTGCCACTCTGGGTCACCCAGTGTCACCCTGTGCCCTCATCCTGCCTGTCCCGCTCCCCAGGTCCAGCAGAAGCAGCACCGGGACACCTTGGCCGTGTACCGCAGTCACCTTCTCCAGGCTGCCCAGGTGGGGGTCCCTGGCCCTGCCCGGGGTCTCTGGGGGGACGGGGGCACAGATTTGGGTGCCGGGCAGTCAGGTGGGATCCCGGGAAAAGCCGCACTCCCTCTTCCGCAGGGATTCATGGACGAGGGCGTGCACGCCGCGCTGCTGCGGATCCTGCGGGCCGAGGCGGGAGCGGGGCCGTGGCATTAAACCGGGAAACTGCGACCTGTGTCCCGTTCCGTGTCCCCAACAGCTCGGGGAAGGGGCTGTACCCTGCTCCATTCCCCTGGAATCCATCAGAAACCACGGAAACCCCCAGCCCGTTCCTGGGGTCTCCATGTCCCCACTCCAACACGGACTCGGATCCCACGGGATGTGTTTTTTTAATTTATTCCCGGTTCCCCCGGCCGGGCCCCGCCCGCCACCGCCCCAGCGCGAATTTGGTGCCGGTGCTGACGCGCTCCAGGTCGGGGCCGTGGGCCGGGGCCCGGCGCAGGAGGATCCCGGTGGGAATTTGGGAGTTCCGGAAGCCGTCAGCGCTCAATTCCATGATCCTGGGACAGGGAATGGGGTCAGGGATGGGGCCGGGGAGGCTGGGAAGCCCCAGGCGCTCTCCAGCCTCGTGTCGCTGTCCCCACGGTGTCAGGAGCGGCTCACCCCACGGTGGCCGGCAGCTCTCCGGGAAATGATCCCGGTCCCGGTCCCGGTCCCGGTCCCGGTCCCGGTCCCGGTCCCGGTCCCTCGGCTCCATCCTCGGTGGCAGCGATGGCCTCCAGGACCAGCGGCTCCAGCCAGGCCACAGCGCTGACCTCACACGGGCTCGGACACAGCCGGGCCTGGGCATGGACCCCCCGTGGAGGGAGAGACCCCCCGAGGGGGGACCCCAACCTCGATAGGGGACCCCCACCCTTGGAGGGACCCCGACCTTGAGAGGGAGCCCCACTCATGGAGAGACCCCCACCCTCAGAGGGACCCCCATTCAGAGCGGGGCTGCAACACCAAGAGGGACCCCCCCACCCACGAAGGGACCCCCCACCCATGACGGGACCCCTCGGAGGTGTCCTCACCTGCAGGCGCTGGCGGGGCTCGGCCGAGCGCAGCCCCAGGTAGGTGACGATGTGGTGGCAGCGTGGTGGCCCCCAGCTCAGCGCGGGGGGGAACAGGGACTGCGGGGGAGCAGCGGTGACCCGGGGGGCAGGGCGGACACCTGGGGGTGTCACCCCCTGCCCAGCCCCGCCTGTGGGGGGGTCGTTACCTCCCAGAGGCCGAGCAGGTGCCACGAGAAGGTCCCGGGCTCCAGGTGCAGCCCCGTCTCCTCGGCCAGCTCCCGCAGCCCTGCGGCCACCAGCTGAGGGTTCGGGGTGTCAGGGGTCACCTGTGTCCCCGCACTCACCTGGGCACCCCCTGCCCTCCCCACGATGTCACCTCACCTCTTCTCCTGGCTCCAAGTGCCCACCTGTGTGGGGGGGACAGGGGTCAGGGCACCCCAAAACACCTGTCCCCACCCCAGAGCTCCTCTCGCTCACCTGGTGGCACCCAAACGTTGGGGAAGTGGCGCAGGGTGGTGGCCCGGCGGGTCAGCAGGACGTGGCCACAGGCGGCCTCCAGCAGCACGGCCACCGCTGCGGCCACCCCTGCGTGTCCCCCCCGGCCACCCGGCGTGGCCCCTCCCAGCTTGGCGGGGCAGAAGGGGGGTCTCTGCGGGGACAGGGGACATCAGGGGTGCGAAGGCTCCCTGAGGGGACCCGGTGGCCCCCGCGGGGACACAAGGACTGGTGGCCCCGCGCACCTTGAGGACTGTGACGGCGGAGCCGGGGAAGGGGACATCGGAGATGAGGAAGTGACCGCGCTCCAGCCCGCAGCTCACCCGGGCCACGTCCGTGTGCGCCGGGCAGAACACGCCGGTGACACTCTGCGGGGACACGGCTGTCACCGCACCGCGACAGCCACGGGGACACCTCGGCCGCTGTCACCGCACCGCGACAGCCACGGGGACACCTCGGCCGCTGTCACCGCGACGCTGCAGCGGCCACTCCCCCTCCCTTGCGCTGTCCCCCTCCATTGCCGCCATAGTCCCCAGAGCTCCCAGGTCGCCCCCGGTCGCCCCCCGGTCGCCCCCGGACCTGCCCGAACGCCGCCGCCCCCCCCGGCCCCGCGCGCCGCACGTGCACGAGCACGCGCGCGCCCGCCATGACGGGGGCGGAGCCTTCCCGGATGGGCGGGGCCTCCCGGAGGGGCGGGGCCTCAGCCGAGCCGGCGACCGCGCCCCCTGCAGGGCCACCGGGAACGGCCTCGCCCTGGGGCGGGCACCGCGGACCGGCGACAGTTCTGTGTCCCCCGTGTCCTGTCTGTGTCCCCCGTGTCCTGTGTCGTCTGTGTGTCCATGTCCTGGTGTCCCCCGTGTCCTGTGTGTGCCCCCCCCGTGTGTCCTGTGCGTGTCCTTTGTGTTGTCGTGTCCTGTATGTCCCGTATGTCCATGTCCTGTCTGTGTCCCCGTGTGTCCTGTGCGCTCTGTGTGTCCATGTCCTGTGTGTCCCCCGTGTCCCCATGTGTCCTGTGCGTGTCCATGTCCTCCGTGTTCCCCCGCTGGGGACACTGCCACCTGCCGCGGGCGTGGCCACCCCTCAGGGACACGATCAACGCTCGGGGGACACCGCTGTGTCCCCAGGGCTGCCACCACCCGTCCCCGGCAGGCGCCATTCCTGGCGATGCCAGCAGGTGTCACCCGTGCCCGCCCCCTCGGGACCCCCCGGCACCCACCGAGTCTGGGGGGTGTCCCCAGCGCCCTCCACCCCTGACGTGTCCCCAGGGTCCCCTCTGCGCCCCCAACCAGCCGGTGACACTCGGGGACCGGAGCCTGAGCGGGACACTAGGGCAGCTCAGTGCGCCCAGTATGTCCCAGTAACTCCCAGTAGCTCTCGATCGCCACTTGGCCGAGCAAGTGGCCACGCGATGGTGCAGGTGGCAGGTCCTCACTTTGGGGGCAGAGAGGGTCCCCACCCTGGGGACAGAGGAGGACACGCGGGTGGCCGCCACACCGCACACGCGACAATGCCGACAATCGCACGCGGGAGCGCGCACCGGCAAGGGGAAGAGGGGGGGGGTGTCACAGCCGTGCCCGCGCACACGCGCGTGCAAAACTCCCCCCCCTCCCACCCCCCCATCCCTCGGCAGTTAATGAGGATCATCTCATTAACGGGGATTAACGCCTATCTATAGGGTGGCGGCGGGGGGAGTCCCGCGGCGGGGGCCGGGCAGTCCCGCGGGGGTCCCCGGTCCCGCCCCCGGCCCCGCTCCGGCCGGTGCCCGGTCCCGGCCCGTTCCGGGGCGGAGCCGCTCGGGACCGAGCGGGGAGCGGAGCCGGTACCGAGCGCGAGGGGTCGGGAGGGGCGGGGGTTGGGGGATGTTGGGGCAGCGGGTGGGGAGTGCTGGGGCAGGGCTGGAACGGGGTGGGTTTGGGGTGGGTTTGGGCTGTAGGTTGGGTGTTGTGGGGTGTCGCGGCAGGGGGTGTGTAGGGTGCTCTCCGGGGCCATGGAGTGTTGCGACGGGGTGTTTTTGGGGTGTTTTCGGGGTTTGGGCGGGACGCTGACTGTTGTGAGGGTGTCGTGGGGGTGTTGGAGTGTTGGGGGGTACCTGGGGTGCTGTGAGAGCCGTGTCGGGGTGTAGGTGGGGTGTTTTGGGGTGCTGGGGCGGTGCAGGTGGGTGCACTCCCATGCTGGGGGAAGTGTCCCAGCACTGCTGGCAGCGGCTCCTGGAGCACTGGGAGCACTGGGAGCACTGGGAGCACTGGGAGCACTGGGACAGGAACATTAGAGCGGGGACACTACGGACACCGCGAGGGGGTACTGGGGACCACTGAGAGAAGTGGGGACACTGGGAGCCCTGTCCCCTCACTGTCCCCACTCCGCCCCCCCCCATCCCCGCGCCTCAGTTTCCCCCCGCTCGCAGCCCGGGGCGGGGCGGGGGGGTCGCTCTCAGCCCCACCCGCGATGCCGGGGGTCCCGCTGCCCTTCGTCCTCCTCCTCCTCCTCCTCCTCCTCGCCGGGGCGCCCGCCCAGTCCTTCCCGCGGGACCTGGTGGCTCGCAGCACCGTGGGGCTGGCAGGTGAGCGGGGCTCGGGGGGCGGCCGGGGGCTCGGGGGCTGCCCGGGTGTCACCGTGTCCTCCCCGGTCCGCAGCCACGGCCTCGTACCCGCGATTCGGGGGTCTCCGGGGGGACAACGGCACGGCCCGGCTCGGCCTGGACTTCCAGCGGATGCTGAGGCTCAACGGGACGCTCTTCGTGGCTGCCCGGTGAGCGCGGCCGGGCTCGTGTGTGCCGGGACACGGCAACCCCTGCTCCAGCATCCTCGCTTGTGCAAGGATTTGCACGCTCGCTCTCCCTTGTCACTGCTTGTGACCCCCACTCCCGTTCCTTCCCGTGCGTGACCCCGCAGTTCCCTGTTGTCCCCGTGTCCCCTTGCCCACCTCGTGTCCCCTTGCCCACCCCGATGTCCCCTTGCCCACCCCGATGTCCCCTTGCCCACTCACCGCCTCCCCCCAGGGACCACATCTACGCCTTCGACCTGGGCCAGGACAAGGGGACGCTGTACCCAGAGCGGGTAAGGGGGACGGGAACAGCGACCCTGGGGACAAGGGGGGCACACAGGGGGTGCTCACTCACCCTCTGCCCCCGTCTCACCTGGCAGCACCTCACCTGGGAGACGCAGGACAGGGAGAACTGCGCCATGAGGGGCCGGCGGCAGGTGAGGGGGTGCCGAGGGGTACAGGGGGTGTGGGAGCCGTGTTGGGGACGTGGGGATTTGGGGTGCAGGAGAGTGAGGATTTGGGGTGCAGAAGTGTGGGGGTTTCGGGTGCAGGAGTGTGGGGATTTGGGGTGCAGAAGAGTGGGGATTTGAAGTGCAGGATTTTGGGTGAAGGAGTTTGGAGATTTGGAGTGCTGGAGTGTGGGGATTTGAGGGGGAGGATTTTGGAGATTTGAGGTGCAGGAGTTTGAGGTGCAGGGCTCAAAGGTACAAGGGGCAAGCAGGGTCTCATGAGCAGGTGGTGACGCCAGGGTCCCCCCGTGTCCCCTCCACAGGACGAGTGTCACAACTACATCCGGGTGCTGGTGCCCCGCGACGCCGAGACCCTCCTGGCCTGCGGCACCAACGCCTTCAGCCCCCTGTGCCGCACCTACCAGGTGAGGGTCCCGGGGCTGAGGGGGGCTCGCAGCCTGCTGGGGGTGGGTGGGATGTGCTGGGGGGGTCTCAGCCCCCACAGGGCAGTTCCCAGGTGTGTGATGGGGGGTGTGGAGGTTCTCAGCTACATCCGTGCTGGGGTTGGGGTTGGCACAAGGGGGTGCTGAGTGTTGGGGGCGGGTCTCACGGCCTTTGGGCGTGTGTCCCCCCCCCCCAGGTGAGCAGCCTGGCACAGCAAGGTGACGAGGTCAGTGGCCAGGCCCGGTGCCCGTTTGACGCCAAGCAAAGCATCGTGGCCCTCTTTGTCGGTGGGTGCCGGGCAGGCAGGGGGACACGGGGGTGGTCGGGGGGGCACAAGGGTGACCCGGTGTGTCCCCCCCGCAGATGGCAGCCTGTACTCGGCCACGGTGGCCGATTTCCAGGCGAGTGATGCCGTGATCTACCGCAGCCTGAGCCCCGGGCAGGCTCCCCTGCGCACCCTCAAATACAGCTCCCGCTGGCTGCAGGGTACCCCAGAGCGGGGGGTCAGGGCTGGGGGGGTCTTTGGGGGTGGGTCGGGGGGTACAGGGGTGTAGGAGGGTGCGGGGTAGGGCTTACAGGTGTGGAGGGATGTGGCGGAGTGGGGCAGGGGGATGTGGGGATGGGGTCGGGGGGTGCAGGGCTGCAATCTGGGGGTGCAGACCCATGGGGACATAGAGGGGGGCGGGATGCAGGGAGGGGATGAACACAAGGACGTGGGACAAGGACAGGAGGTGGCGGGGGCTGATGATCCCTCCGACCTCCCCTGGCTCCCCCAGAACCCCACTTTGTCCAGGTGCTGCCCTACGGCCCCTATGTCTACTTCTTCTTCAGGGAGGTGTCAGTGGAGCTCAGCGCCCTGGGCAAGGTGGGTGCGGGGACGGGGGGCACAGGGGGAGCACCCATGGGCGCCCCACCCTGGAGCCGAGACAGGGGAGACTCCTGAGCCCCTCACCAGGGTGTCAGACCTGTGGGTGCCCCCTGGGTGCTGTCCCCGAGGGTGTGCAGGTGCTGAGCCCAGGTGTGCAGGTGCTGAGCCGCGTTCCTGTGCAGGTGCTGGTGGCCCGCGTGGCCCGGGTGTGCCGCAATGACCGCGGCGGGTCCCCGCGGGTGCTGGAGCGGCGCTGGACGTCCTTCCTGAAGGTGCGGCTGCAGTGCTCCGTCCCGGGCGACACCGTCTTCTACTTCGATGTCCTGGAGGCCGTGACACCCCCCCAGACCCTGCACGGGCGCCCCGCTGTCCTCGCCCTCTTTGGCACCCAACCCAACAGGCAGGGACATGGGGACAGGGTGATGGGGACATGAGGGACTCACACGGGGACACAGAGGGACAGTACACAGGGAAACAGAGGACGGGGACACACTTGGGACACGGAGGGGCCCCGGTCAAACCAAGGCCACTCTGTCCCCTCCCCTCTGCTGTCACCGCAGCATCCCGGGCTCGGCCGTCTGCGCCTTCTACCTGGCAGATGTGGAGCGATCGTTCGAGGGTCCCTTCGCCGAGCTCCGCGGGGCCACCTGGGCCCCGGTGCCAGAGGACAGGGTCCCTCAGCCCAGGTAAGGGTCCCTCAGCCCAGGTACCCCCCCCCTCCACACCGGGACACCCCCGGGTGCCGCAGACACCGCGTCCCCACACCGGCTGTGCCGCAGGCCGGGCTGCTGTGCCGGGATGGGACCTGCTGCCGGTGTTGTCACCTCTGGGGACTTCCCTGACGAGACGCTGGTGTTCGCCAAGGAGCACCCGCTGCTGCACGGCGCCGTGAGCCCCGCGGGCGGGCGGCCTCTCTTCACCCGCACCGGCACCAGGTGCGGGGACGGGGACAGGGTGGCCTCGGGGATGGGGTGGCCTCGGGGATGGGATGGCCTCGGGGATGGGGTGGCCTCGGGGATGGGGTGGCCTTGGGGATGGGGTGGCCTTGGGGACAAGGAATAGCTCACGTGAGTAGGCTCAGGGTGTGCAAGGGCTGAGGGTGCTGCAGGGTGGGGACGGTCCTGGTCCAAGGCTCTTGTGAAGGTGTGTGTGGGGCCACGGGAGGGTGCAGGAAGCCCCCCGTGCACAGCCCAGCCCCAGCCCGGTGTGCGAGGCCGTGTCCTGCTGCAGGCTGACCCAGCTGGCCGTGGACACGGGAGCGGGGCCCCGAGGGAACCACACCGTGCTGTTCCTGGGGGCCGAGGATGGGCGGGTGCTGAAGGTCCTGGCAGCTGCACAGAGCCCTGAGGCCACCCAGCCCCCCGGGGGCACCCCGGCCCCGGGGGACACCCGAGGGCTGGGGGACAGCAGGGACAGCAGTGCCAAGGCACTGCTGCTGGAGGACATCAGCCTCTACGACCCCGGGCGGTGAGAGCCAGGCATGGGGTGCCCAGGGCTGGGCTCTGGGGGGTCTCGGGGGGATTACGGATGCAAGAGGGGGCTGGGGGGTTTGTGGGGGCCATGGGTACTGGGAGTGCTGTGGGCACTGAGGGGTTGGGGGTGCTTGGGGGGCCTGGGGGTGCTGACCCTTGGTGCTGGGGG